AAAATAAGGAATCTGCCTGTTCTAAAACACAGTTTTACTTTCCAAAATGAAGAAAGCTCACAGGAATGTCACTATCACTGAAGGCCCAAATGAACAATATAATATTGTTCTTATATAATACTGTCTATATAATCAGTTAATATATGAACTTTGTTTAGAACGTTTCTATACTTTTTTGACCAAGGGCATTCTAACCACTGCTCCTTACATTACTTTAATGCATATGTGACAATATCCTTGATTCATGGGGGCAATTGGTGGAAAATGCAGAGACCAGATTGTTGAGTGAAGCACCTGACCATGTAGAAACTGGAAATAACTGTTTTGCTTGTTAAAAACAGAGAGTACACACATGATCACACTCTCCATTACAGACCTGGATATATGGAGATCTTGCTGCTTGTTCCACAGCTTGCAGTATTTTGTAGACAAGTCTTCTCAATGGTAGTGAATAAACTACCATTTAGAATGGTAGTTTGGAATAAACTCCTACCCAAATCCAAGAGCTACCTATCATTTTGTCTTTATAAATCTGTCTTCACATACATATGTCTTACATGGTCTTGCCTGTGGTTTTTTTTTTTTTTTTTGCATTCTACTTCTCCATTTAATGGCAATGTTTTTATATTGTTTTAGTTTAATGTATTTGTTTTTTGTTTTCATTTTTTATTTATATACCCCTTTGAGATGGGAGTACATGAGAATAATATAGTAATATATTAAGTGGATGGATGGAGATAGTACTGGTGATGAATAAGACTGTTTTGTTTGTGTGAGAACATCCTTTTTGCTCCCTGTAATCAAAACTGTTTTATTCCACAGCCTGAGGAACTGCATTTTATTATATGGCAATTGCTACTACCAATCGTTTATACAGCATCATCAATGCTCATGGTATTTGCGGACAAAAGAGTTTCTCTTGTCTGATGAATCTGTAGTGCATATTTTGATGATAAAGTACAATTTTTGGCTCTATTAATGCATAACTTTAGATAGATATTAGATAAGGGCAATTTTGTGAAGTCTCATAAAGAAGAAAACTGGGGGGGGTGTTTCTTATATGGGTATATCTCATATATTCTCATTTTTACATATACCTTGCTATCCTGTCCTACATTTTTCCTCACACCAGTACTTTATTCACATGTTTCTGTTATTGCTCTTAAATATCTTCAAGCATTTCCTATTTTCCTAGTGCACTTCTTTTCTGATCCAATTGAACTTTTGGCTTTTCCAATTAAAGCAACATAGCTCCTCTGTATGTATGAAAGTTAATTCTGTCCATAGAATTTGTGTTCATGGTAAATACTGCCTTTGACTATAGCAGAAGTAAAGACACAGTCAAAAAGTTTCAGCAACTATCTCAACACTGCCAGTAGACAGAGTTTAAGGGAAAATCTGGTTCACAGAAACATTCTAAAAACATCCATATTTGGGAAGTATTGCTAAAGCGTGATCTAAACAAGGCATAAAATCTGATAAACTCTCTGTCCCAAGTCCTCACTAAGCTGATGACTCACAAAAGATACAAGATAGTTCAGTGACATTAAAAATGCAAGAATGCAATATGGTTTGACAAGAAGAAGCATTTGAGGACAAAGAAAAATAAGACTTCTGACAACATATACAGCCATGAGCAAGGATGGTGTCTATCCTAAAATCTTGGATTTTATCCAGTCACTGCACTAAGTATCAAGTTGCCATTAATACGATTGAGCAAAGCATTCATGTGGGTGCTTTGTGAAATGCACTGAGGCAAGTGAAAACTCAAAGTACTAAGCCAGCAGCAATTCCTGAAAGGCTTGGTGTGGCTCAAGGCTCTTCCAGAGGGTTTGCACTTTGCAGGTGGATATGCCCTGATTCTGCAGAAACTGCTAGCAAAGCAATGTACATGTGCATACATGTGGAGATGACTGGAATAGCTTTCAAAGCAGATATTCCCAGCTTACCAACGGATGCAGCTGTCTCCCCATTTCAAAGGAGAATTTCATTTTCACCAAGGTGTTTCACACTGTGTTGCTCTGAATACTTTGCACAGCCCTACTATTAATCTCTGCATGCTGAAATGTCTTTCCTTTCTTGCAAATCCAAGATGGACTATTGGATCTGATTGCAAGGTGTGGGGAAATGGACAGCTTCTCCTTCAACAATAGCCCATCATCATTAAGTCATGCAAGGTCACAAAGAATGAATCAGTTTCCTCTATGTTCTAGTGTAAAGAATAGGAAACAATGAAAACGCAGGTGCCTTGACCTTTTTCTAAGAATAGTAGTTTCCAATCAAATAGCAAGCCTTTCTGAGTCACCAAGTTATTTTGCCAATGTTAGATACAGAACCAGGGCATAAAATCTATAAATGATTAAAGGTCTCCGAAAGAGCTGTTTTCAAAATGCTCTGAAGCAAACACAGTAGCAAAGCTTCTTTCTCCACTCCTAGATATACTAGGAGTACTGTTGTTATTTTTTAAATATTTCTTCCAATCTCCCTAAGCCAACCAATATCTCGCTATAAGACTTCTAGCTACAATCCCATCAGGTTTTTTTTATGATGTTCATTAGTAATTCTGAAAGATCACCGTATCAGCAGCAGAAAGATGTTAACCTTTGCTAGCCATTACCCTGCCATGGCCTCTCCCTTACTACCACTCACTACCTACCATATATTCCATTTTTTTCTCCCCACACACCATGATCATGTTTTTTTTTATTCCAGTCTCTCCCTATCCTCCATTATCTTTCAAAATCTCTGTATCTCTGTGAAAGTGAAAACAATATATTTTCCACATCCTTCTTAAAAATTTGTTTTTAAAAATACCCCAGTAATATAGAAGTGATAAATCAACCCATTCAATCTAAAACAATATTCACTTCACAGAAATTATAGAAAAGATTTAATATAACACAATAAACCTGAAAATTGAGAAAAATACTTTGTTTCCAGAGACTATGTGATGTCCTTCTCAATCGTAGCCATCTGAACACAGTCTTCATTGGAATTTTGGCTCTACTTAGCCTAAACAGAAACTAAAGTTTTTATTTGTGGCTGTCTTTGGACCATAGGCAAGTCAGCAAAGAAAAAGCCTGGTGCACAAGAAGCTAGAAGAAAAGCCAGAGCTTTTCCATGAGAAGGAGATTTTTCAAATTGAACAGTCAATGAAGTAACTTCAGAGACTAGAAAATGGAAGGACTTGGCACAAAGTCAAATTCTACTCTTCCTATACTAAGCACAGAAAATACGCTTCACATCCCTCTGACCAAGTCAACATGAATCATCACATCTGATAAGAAAGCAAGTGATTTACAACTGATGTTAACCCCAAATGTTATTTCCCCTACTGTGATCTCTAACTATGTCTCTATCCTGAGATTTTGTGATGTCCCCATTCTAAGATACAACCACCCCACCCATGTGAATTACAACTCAAGCTCTATACATGAAGCTATTTTTCTTAGAAAGAATAATATTTCCCTCCATTGAAATGTCAGAATAGATTATATGAAAGCCAGATTTTTAAAACAAAAAATCAATAGCCCAAATGAAAAAGTTGCAAGAAGTACAATATAGCAAAGAGTTTTACCTAACATATCAAATATTATCATACAGGAATATTTTACTTTTCTTCTTGATCAGGGGTGGGTTCTACTTACCTTTACTACTGGTTCGCATTGTGCCTGCGTGCGCTCTTCTGGACATGCGCAGAAGTTTATGCGCATGCGCAGATCACCTATGATGACATCCGGATCAGTGGGCGGAGCCTCCCGCCGGTTTTACTACCAGTTCTTGCGAACCGGTCCAAACCGGGGCAACCCACCACTGTTCTTGATACATCCATCAATACTGATTAGTTATATTATTTCTAGACATTCACCAGAACTTTAGTGAACTTCAAGTGGCAATTCTTAATGGTTTCTGGGTGGCACAAAATTCCCAACGTACTTTCATCTTATATATGCAGAAAGCCAGCAATAAGCTAGGACATTCACTCTGACAGCAGGGAAGGAAGAAATCCTTGTCAAACTAAGGCACGTGCTGCCAGCTTCTCCCCCATTACACTTGTGCTCTACTCTGAATTGACAAAACATTATTGTGCCCTACTCTGAATTGACAAAAAAAAATTATGCTAATTTTCCTTCTATAACTGCTCAGACTACCTCTTAGATTTGTTTATGTAACAAAATGAGAAACAGTATTATCAGCAATTTCATTTGGCAAGCTTTTATTTAATGAGAATAGAATTTAAAATGCAAAACTATGCTATTTGTTTATACCATGATTCAAACAAAATAACGTTAAGAGCTGTTGCAGGTCTATGTGCTGCACAGTTCCTTGATTCTACTGTCAATTTCCACTCCCTGATAATATAGAGTTGGATTCAGTCAGGGTGGAGTCACATATTAATCTATATAGACTTGTGAGAAACTTTTTAGAAAAATGTAAGGTATTTGAGTAATCCAACAATAAAGTGTGACCCAAGAAATGAAGGAGGCATCCATGCCTCAGCAGCTATAGCTACATGTACCTACAAAAGAAAATAGGTTCAGTGGTAGTTTTATTGAAGTGAATAAAACAAAAAGCCTTAAGCATTTTAAAGACCAAAAATAGCTAGCTAATATTTGGAGCAGGGAGGACGGAGGGGAGAGTCAGAAATTCTAGGGAAGAAAGATTTAGATATGCCCCAATTGACCCAGCCTATCCTAGGGAAATGCTAAGTTATTATGCATAGAGATGCTGTATCAGGATGGCCACAATGAGATTTTCCAGCTGCAGACCATATTCCATCAAGTACAGTAAGACTCTATTAGGAGAAATACAATAGGAACTTTGCTTCACCCAGGTTCTGAGAAAATAACTCCTCATTTCAATGCAAAACAGCAGCGCTTATTAAATACCTCCTTGAAGGAAGGAGAATACTATAGAAGGAAGGGGAAATGATGGAAATGAAGAGACAACAAAGACTGAGATGGGGGAGGGCAAGAGAGACATATCAGCAATGAAAGTACCTTTTTGAGATTAATCCACTGTTTGAAGTAATCAGCAACTGGAAGTCCTAAGTACTGGCATTGTCCAGGTAACCTGTAAGAAAAAGAGCAGGTTGGTTTCAAGTAGAACAGTCTAAGTACCCAAGAAAGGAGAAATAAGGAAACGTACCATCTGTATTTCAGCCCAAACCTCAGTCTTCTTAGGAGTACATGTCTCTCTAGTTGAGAGATCCTCAACCTTTTTGGAAAGCTAGGCACATCTGACATTTTGAAAGCAAATTATTATTAAGCAAAGAAATATGGTTGTTTGCCTATTCACAAATTGGCTACCATTATGGGTGGGAAATCTCTCTGGTCCTTCAGATATTCATTATTAACTTACTATTGTATTTAAAATTAAACATTAATTGTGCTATAAAAGGTAGAATGGAACAGTGGAAGAGAAAAAAAGAAAAAGATTTTGTAAAGAGTTGCGCAGAACTTAGTTGCACAGAAATATATCTGTGATGATCAATCCTCTTTAATGGCACAATTTCTCCCCTGCCCCATTCCTTCATTGGAAAACAAATACAGCTGCAGTTCGAAAATACAAAATAATTAAAATTTAGTTATAATACAAATTACAGAAATCTAAATAATATTTTAGAAAAACCATAAAAGGAAAAAAATGGGTTAAATCCGATGAAACCAACAGATCATACATTTCCCCCTCCCCTCAAAACTCTTCTTTGTGTTAGCCCCAATTATATTAACATGGTTATAAACTAGTGGATCATTTACCATCAGTGCCAACTCCAAATAAAACACAAACCCTCATATTTGTCTCAATGTTTAGAAACTAAGAGATAAACAAATTGAAAACAATTACAAGTATTTTGGGAGTACTTACAAAATATATTTGTTTGGTTATTTGTTTTTAAAGAATAATATATGTACGTTAAATATCCTATCATTTCATGTGCCAGAATTCATCATTTACAATGATACACAGCCCCAAAGATATTATGACAACTCTCTATATTTGTTTTATGGCTTGCAACAGATACTTTCTTGTGTCATACAATCCCTTTATTGACTAATAGATGTACTCAATGAAATGAGTTGTAAAATGACTTGGCTATGTCATTTCCCAGAGCTATCACTCAAAATATTTTGCATTAGTCTGAACAGAGTATTTAAAGTTAATGGAGGTAAATACACAAAGCCACAATGCTAAGTAGCAGGTTTATGAGGGAGAAGGAGAAGCCATTCAAAACAGCAATGCTGGGGGGCTGAGGAAAATATTCATCTTGAATTGTCCCTTGTTTCTATGATTTAAGATCATCAGAAAAGAGTTTGCCAGAACAAGCATATGGAGGCAAGGCACAAACATTTAGCATTCTACAATATGAAATACAGTTCTCCTATTTCTGTCTTCAGAAACAAACAAAAGGGGACAAGAACTGAACTTTGGGATCCAGGTCAATACACCTGCTACATAACCCATAACACACATTCACATATATAGCCTTCCACTGCTGGTGGAGAAAAGAATGGACATTGCAGCCATTAGTTTAGAATGTAAATTCATTTATACTCAATCAACTTGATTGATATGGGGTAGTTAACAGGTCGTATTGCTTATTAATGCTTTGCTAAAGATTTTTAGATATGCTTTGAATGCTGGATTGGGTATGAATTAGGTGGCCATAGGAAAGACCAAAAATTAATTAAATAAGTGATTAATAGATTCATTTACACATGGTAATTACTTCAATCCAAGCAATTGGATATGCAAATCGAGCATGCTCTTTGCACCCAGCACTTTGATGTAAACTGTGCTCCTTAAACTGATTTTTTTTTTCCAGAAAAAAGGAGGGAGAAGAGATTGGACAAGGCACGGTCAGTGAGAAGCCAGTGACATTAGTGCTTTACACAAAAAGGTAAGCTATCCTTCCCCTACGTATCTGTTAGCCTTAAACTGTGTCATACCAAAATGACTGCAATGAGGCAGTGTTAGTTCAGCGTATCTGGAGGATATCAGCTTGGGGAAAGACATCAAATGGCCTTGTTAGCATAAGCAAAATAAAATCAGTAACTTTCCTGTTTAAATGTCCACTACCTCAGCTCTACAGTTAAGCAAGCACTAACATTTAGTTTCACTGAACTAAGAATTATGTGTTCTCTTTAGAAATAAGGTTGAGTGATATAGGTGGATACGTTTCTTCCCTTAATACAGAGATGAGGAACATGCACACCTCCAGTCCATTTATAAAGTCCTCGGGCTTTTCCTGATCAAAACTGTCAAAAAGTAGTGATAATATTTTCTGTCATTTGAAGCAGGAAACACTTAAATCCACAATATAAGCCCACATATAACCTTATCAGAACCTTCACCCAGAAAAACAAAAGCAAAATAACTGGCCAATTTACATCATCACCTCACCTACTGAATAAAGCTTAAGGCTGAGAAATTTCAGACAAGAAAAGGAACACTGTTTTCCATACACTGAGTCAAACTTCTTATTTTCTAAAACAAATATGTGTAGATGGCCACCAACATAGATGACTTTAAGAGAGAGTTAAGCAAATCCATGGAGAATAATATTATGGACAGCTACTAGATACTACTTATATATGTCCCAAAGGTGCTTTTTCAAGAGGCAACTGGACTTTCTGGTTTTTCTTTGAAGACATTTCGCTTCTCATCCAAGAAGCTTCTTCAGCTCTGAGAAGCGAAACATCTTCAAAGAAAAGCCAGAAAGTCCAGTTGCCTCTAGAAAAAGCACCTTTGGGACAACCATAACCTGGACCTGAATCTCCATAGACATTTACTACTTACATAATCAGTGAAATACAGTACCAGTTCCTGGGAAATGCACATTAGATAGATAGATAGATAGATAGATAGATAGATAGATAGATAGATAGATAGATAGATAGATAGATTTAATTTGATTTATATGCCGCCCTTCTCTGGAGACTCAGGGTGGCTTACAATGCTTACAATGTGCTCAGCAATAGCCTTCATCCTTTTGTATATTTATACAAAGTCAGCTTATTGCCCCCACAACTGGGTCCTCAATTTACCTACCTTAGAAAGGATGGAAGGCTGAGTCAACCTTGAGCCTTGGCGAGATTCGAACCTGCAGTAATTGCAGGCAGCTGGTCTTAATAACCAGCTTAATAACAGGGTGCCTTAGACCACTGTACTACCAAGGCATATTGTTGGACCCATTAGCATTTCCTATTCATATCTCACCATGGAGCCAAAATATCTCTGCCATTGACACAACCTATGCCATTGATTTCTTATTATTTTATTATTTCTAATTATGATTCTAATTTCTTATATGTCCATCATTATCTCATGTTCATTATATAAAAATTATATACTCTTACCCAGTACAAAGATAAGCTGATTCTGCATGGTTCCTACTATATAAGGCATGGTATCAAGGCGCTCAACTAAAGTTTATATTTTTCAGAGAACAGAACATATTTGCATTTATTTATATTTTGCCATTACCAATTATGTTCTACATTACACTAAGTGTAGTGCAATCTGAATATGCACATATGTGTGCATGTATACTATTCTGATAACAATTGAGGAGACATTTAATAGAACTCTATCTCTAATTTAAAAAGGCATTAAGCTGTTTTTGTACACTTAAACAGACAGATATACACTAATTACAATATAATAATAATATTTTTCTGGAGTTATTAAACTAAAAAAACATTTTTGCACCAAAATTATATGTCAAGGTGGTGTTCTTGGCAGTACATGGCAGTTTTTCCATTCTGAAGCTGTAGAGAAGGAAAACTGAAGTAAATTGGAGGCAAGGTCACATGGTTTTCCTTCTCTTTTTTCTTCCATCTGGAAAAGAAAAGCCCAGCTTGCAGTGATAAACAGCCCTGCTTTGGTTATCACTTTCCTTAAGTTGAGAAGAGGCAGCGAGTGATAGATGGGCAGGAATTTGGTTATCGGGCAAGGCTGTCAGCCAGAGTTTCAGATAGCACACACACATTTAGCAGAGCATCATTATGCAATGGCATGGAGCTAAAATATGGCCGAGGGTATTGAAAGAATGAAAGAACAGGATTTGGGGGGTGGGAACAAATGGAGCAACAATAAAAGAGTGCAAGGCGAGGATGTTATCGTCCTAGTGACACCTTTTATCTCAGTCTGGTTAGTTAAAGGAGGACACAAATTGGTCCTTCCTCCACCATTGTATCCTCTTGTACAAACACAGGCAGATAAAATGTGTCACCAGTGTGATAGCATATCAATTTAACCCTAATTATCTAGGGGGTCATGCTAAGAAATAAGAGTTTCACATTTCAACAGGTCCCTCCATTTCTTTTATGGAGGTGCCACATTAATAACACGGGGAGGAAAAGGGGGGGCAACAAGAAAGGGAGGCAGCTTGTAATTGAATTCAGTCACTCAGGTGGTCCTACTGTATGAAAAATTAATGTGCAAGTCTCCCAGCTAATCATAAATGGTTATTGTCCATCTGTTAGGTTTGGAATGTCAGAAACCTAAAAAAAAATAGAGTTGTTTTTTATATTCTTAATCTTTTAGTACCTAGCTGGCATTTTTAGAGAATTTACTCTTTCTAAAACTGGGAGAAAATATTGAATCTTACAAACCTGGTCTCGGCTTTAATAGAACTCAGTATGCTCATTCATTTCTAAAAATATTTAGAATGCACTGTTACATTTGCCTTGGTAAATGTAGGAGGAGGAGGAATACAGCTGCTTGCCTCCAGACTCTTAAAAAGATTACATCCTGCTTTAATATTTTTATGTTTAAAATATTAATATCTCATCCTGCAATCATCTAATAGCTAAGGAAGCCTTGCAGAAAAGCTTCTAAATTGCATACAAACGATCTAAAGATACTGTTGGAGAAAAATGAGGAAGTGAAACGACACTCTTCCTGCATCTCAACATCATACAACATTTATGTTGCATTTTATAAACAAGACAGCAAAATTGTGGCCATGCATGCCTTCAAGGCTACCACATAGCACTCATCTGTCTGGAAAATTTAAAAGACATGACTATGTCAAATATATGTTGTATCTATAAAATACTACTGTTCCT